TAATGTTTTTAGAGATTAATATAACAAAACTCTAACAATATTAATAATATATAATGTCAATAAATATAAAAAAATAATAATTATGCATTAGTTTATTTCTAATAAATTTCTAATGATCTTGGTTTATAATTAAAAAAATTTTTCATAACACCAATAAAAATTTACTGGTAATGAAAGTAAGGATTTCAATTTTTTCCTTATTTCTCGTTACTACAGTTATTTAAATATTTATGATATATTTCAATGTAATAATATTGATATAAAGTTATTTCTACTCTGAATTTATAAACATTATATATCTTATTATTTATACAGATATATGTATATATTTATATTAAAGGTAAAAAATTATTACATAATTTCAAAAGTATTTACATGCTTTATTATCATTGTTAAAGATGCATCATTCACTATATCAATATTGGACAATGTTATTTAGGCTAAATCATTATCTAAATAAATGTAATAATTGTTATATTTTTTTAATATGCCAATCATATTATTAATCTATTGTTTAAAAATCAAATGATCTTATTTGTAAGTATCTGACTAAAATATTTTGAAATAAAATGTAATTGCATATTTAAATGATTTAGCTTAATTTATATAAAATTATAAAACCACCAAACATAAACGTAACATATGCATTTATTATTTAAGCGTATAAATAATCTAATTTTATTACATATTTGTGAATAATATTACCATTATCTATTTGTTAATTATTATTTATAATTAATTTACTTTGTGTATAAAAATTAATTTGTTTTTGATAAATTTAAGATCTTATCAAAATTAACTATATCATGAATAACGCTATCTAAAATGATTAAATCCTTTATTATTATCATCAATTGAGATCGTTCATTATGTACAGAAACATGCAGAGTTTTTATTACTCATAAATACAATAGTATTTACGATATCTACATCATTTCTATCTTTAAAACAATCCGATTCAATAATATATAATTTTATATGTTGTATTATTATATACTAAATAAACGAATAACGTAAATTTTAAACAATATTTATTCTAAAGGTTTATACAATTGTTTTACATCTGAACGTAATACGTAGTAATCATTTAAATCTACAAATGTATTTACAACCTGTAAATAAAATTAAGATTCCAGTTTTTTCATATATTCATATTTTGTTTTTAGAACTATAAAATTATTTAGTTTATAATATAAATATTTCTGTTGTTTTAATTACATAAAATTATTTTAACTATTTTATGCAATGAAGTGTGTATTGATATTTAATTTATAATTGTTTACTATTTTATGGTGAGTGTACATACTTAAAAAATAAACCAAAAATTAATAATTACTAAAAATCTTTGTATAATATGCAAATAATTAATTTTTAATATAATATAAATTTAATACCCTTAAAGATTACAGAAAAATAATATAATCTGCTTTATTATTACTGAATTTATTCATGGCTATTCTTACAAATTTTTTTTCATACATGAATAGTTTCTTTAATTAAGTATTAAGTATGCATATTCTGAATTATGAAAAAATATAATATTAATCAATACAATTTATAATTATTATAAGAAAAGAAAAATTAATTGTCTTTGTAAAAAGTTATGTAATATTAATAAAAAACTAACTTTTGCTATTCTTCAAGTTGTATAATTTATTCACATAATTCAGTACATATAAAAATTTCAATACTTGCTTTTCAGTAATTATTAAATTTTATATTAAAATTTATTATTTATTAACTCATATATGAATTTATTACTATAAAATTATTAACTCATTAGAAAATAATATACTGACGATGTAAAATTAATTTCAAATGTAATAATAAAATGAATACAAATAATATATTAAGATTTGATTGCATACAACTTCAATAAAGAAAACCGTTAGTAGATAGCTGATAAAAAATTATTGATAATTTTATAGTTTAAAAACATTATGAAAATTTGTATGGTAGTGTATCACAGATAATTATTTAATTTTTATGTATTAATAAAAATATATATTATTAGTAAAATCTATAAAGGCTTACAAAAAAAGTCAGTCATAAAAAGTATAATACATTAATATATAATCAATGAAAGGGATTTTCAATACAGTTTAACTAAATAAGAAATCTTTTAGAAAAAAGTTCAAAGTAACTTCAAATTATCTGAAGATGCCTAAAATGTAAATTTTTTCATTGTATTTTATGTTTTACATGAAAATTGTCAACTCTATTAAATCATAATTATACATTCAGTTTGTAATATCTTGAATGACTAATACATACATATTTACGTAAATTTATTAATAAATCAGAATAATTGAATATGTATAGGAGAAGTATTTGTAATTTCGTACATATGCCGAAACATAGTAATACTGTTATCCATATCAATTTTGTTTCCTTTATAGAAATGTTGTGGTTTCAGTTATCATTCTATAAAGTAAGTTTACTATGGAAGGTAGTTTTTAGCTACAATATTTTTTTAACTACAAATTATAGGCATATATAATTATATTTTTTTTATAATATTATCTTATTTTTAAAAATTGCTTATAAATTTATATTCACTTAAATATCGGATCTTTTTTTTATTTATTTATTTTTTTGTGAATGTTTTATATTATATATATACATTCGTTACATAATATTTTTATAAAACATTTTGTAGAACAATTAATAATTGTTCATTATGAATGAGATACGCATATTTTTTAATACACCAAAATAATATCTTAATTATTTTGTTTTATTTTAATCTATAACAAGAAATTATAATAATCAGCAAGATTCTTAAAGTATCAAAATATTTCAATTCACTTCATTGAATAATTGTCCTTAATGTTTAATCAATTCATTTCTTGATGATAATGTATCAGTGTAATCAAATTAATCTAATGGAATATTTTAATTAAGCATTATTACATAAATAATTTAAATATCAAATAAAATAATTCTAATAAATAAAAAAATTTAATAAATAATAACTCGTTAAATTATGAATGTTATTAAGCTATGTATCATTTAATTTTATCCTTAGTTCATTAATTACTTTTACTCGAACATCAAATTAACACATCAAATTAAATTACTAATTTATTTATAAATTTATTGATATTACAAAATATAATATTAAGAAATAATAATATGTAACAATCCTTCAAATAGATTTGTGAAGTGAATTAAGGGGATGAGTTTTTCAAGCTTAGTAATTCGGTAAATACACTTAAATATATTATTAATTAGTTATCAGTTAAATATCAAAATTAATTAATTAGATTAGATTAATGAGTTAATTAAAATTATGTAGTTATTTAGGACTTATTATAATTTTATTTAAATTAAATTAAAAATTTAATTTAATATAATTTAATTTATATTTATATTAATTTTTCAATGTAATTTTTTACCTTCTTTGTACAAATGAAAAGCATACCATAATTAATTTTTACATTAAAAATTACAAATTTAGAATAAAATTATTCTAATATATGTTCCTACAGCAAATTATGAATTTATTTTTTTTATATTTTTCTAAAAATTTAATTAACCACCTACCTATTGTCATGAGAAAAAATATTTATGTAAACTTACTATCAATTTGTATTACTTATATCTGATATTTATTTATTTATTTATTTATATAATTAATATATATTTGGTTCATTATTTGCATTATAATGGTTGTTTTATTACCATGTATTGTATTATATGTATGTATATATATACATATTTAGTTACTCATTTATAAATAATGACAAAACGTTTTTTTCATTTGAAAATTTTTTAATATTAGTATTTTTTAAGAAATGGAGCCAGTATTTTATAATTATTCAGTTATGTATAAAAAATAAAAAGTCTTTACAAATCATTAGATATTAACAGACATTTTAACTATGATATATTAATTTAGATAAGATTTTTTGTATAACATGAATAAAAGTTATAAAATACATACATATTTGTATTTATATTTATTTCATAATATGATTCATAATATCATAGACAATTATTTAGTAAATTATATTGATTGTTATATATAAAACTATATTTATAATATTAATATTTGTATTGTAGTAAGTATAATATTTATGAATATAATTTTATAGATTTGAATATGTATCAACATTCTATATTAGATAAAAAATGCCTATTATACAATTTAATTATAGCAATGAACATTAATGTTAAATTAATAAGTATATATTAATTTTAAAAATTTGCAATTGAATTATAACATATATCTTTATTTTAATGCATTTTGACAAAACTATATAGCTCAATTTATATAATTTATAAGTTATTTTTTATAAATTACTCAAATCAAGTAGAAAGCTGTTATGTTAATGAAATTTTTTGGACATTTTTATGTAAATCCATGTACAGTTTTTATTTTAAAAATCTTTGGTAAAATATCATCCCTAAATTTTAAAGATTACATCTTTTATTTAACGGTAAAAACATACGGTAATGTAGCAGAACGTGTTGCGTATAGAATAATAAACATCCCCTCTTTTTCGTATATAATTGCGTTATAAAACGATCTAATGTGAGTGCCAGAGCATTAGTAGCGATTTCTAAAGTGACAGGTAAAGTGTTTTGGATTAAATAAAGAGAGTTTCTAATCTATTACACCAGTAGATTATATTTCATATAAGTCCAAATTCCAAAAAATATATAGGCGTCAAATAGTTTACATATTGTTTCATTTAATATTTTGCAACGAATAAAAATGTAACTTACAAAATGATTAAAAATTTTAATGATTTAAATGATTTTAATTGAGTTAAAATGTTACAAAATTTTATTAGAATACATAAAAATTAAATATTAAGATTTCATATCGATATCTTAATTAAAATTTGTTTATCTAATTATTTTGTTTTATATTTAATTCGAATTTCGATATCATCAATAGAATATATTTTCTTAAAAATATAATCATTAAATTAATCTTATTATATAATGATAAAAAATTAATGTATTTTTATTTAAAAATTGATATTAGGTTATTTTTGTCTGAATAAAAATGAAGGCGCTTATTACTCTCAGCACGTTTATACTTCTATTTTTTGAAGTTTCTGGTGAATTAGAATGGTGGAGAACTATGTCTCTATACCAACTTTGTCCAAGAAGCTTCAAAGACAGTGATGGAAATGGAATAGGAGATTTTAAAGGTAAATTTTATCATAATAATTGAGTTATTAGCATGTACAGAATCTTTATATATGCGTGTGGGTTGGTGTATACACGTGCGTGGATGAATGAGTATTATGCTCTTTGCGTACATCTTAAATACATATATCCTTCTATAATTAGTAATCAAGATGTACATTAATACAATTTCATTATATAGTAAAATATTTTATACAAATGCAAATTATGAAAAATTGTCAGTATATTATATTTATATATAAATTTAAAAACAAATAGTATAAAGCAAAATGAAACATTTTATATAATTTTGTAGAGTAATAGTACTTTTTCGAACTTAATATTAAGTTATTCTATCGCATACAAAATATTATCTCTATTTAATTAGATTCTCTAATTATAATAGATGATCGATATAAATATATAAATTTATATAATATAATAAGATTGTTAATTTATAATCTGAAACTATTAATTGCTTAAGCAATTTTAAATAAAAATTAATTAATACAAAAGTATATTAGTGATATAAGAATAAATATTTTGATGATGTATATATAATATAATTATTGAAATACTGTAATTTAAATACAATTGTTAATAACTGATATAAACCCAAATCATATTATTGCTGTTATCATTCATTTTTATTTTTAAATCTTCTTCAAATAAATTTCTTTTTTGAAATAGCTTTAATTTGATAAATTGTTTAATCCTAACTAAAAGTATAGTAATGTGAATATTTAATAAAAAAATTAATTAAATACAATATTATTTTATTTCCATTATTATAATGTATTTATATCTTAAGTCCAATATTTCAAATTTAATCTGTTATAGAAACAATATATTATTAATAATAAAAAAAATTTTATTATCGGATGATATAGTACAACTAATAAATTGACAGGAGGTAACAATCATAAGATTATTATGCAGAGTTTTTTTGCAAATAGAGAAACGTATGAAATTCATTATTTCTGTAAATCACCACTAACCTTTTTGTATAAAACAAGTACATAATTACATCGTCTTTTCTTGTGTAAGAATTGAACGCATCATCGTTCGTAAAATACGAGATTTCGACGTTATTTTTTTAAACATAAATTGTCTCCACAATCGTAAACAAATATAAAATAGTATATAAAAGTACATTATAAAAACATGTATATATATATGTAAACATATAAAACCAAGTTTTGATTAGACACAATTTCCAGTATTAAAAATCGATAGAATCATTGTACATTATAAAATATTCTATCGCTAATGTTATATTATTAACAATTTTTTTAAAAATCAAATAATGTAGAATTAACATTATAATTTTAATACTTTGATGTTTTCATTGTATATTGGTAATATTTTCAAAAATTTTCAGTATTTATGAAATCTTTAATTTATAATTAAAATTGCAATTCATATTTAATTAATTATTTTTACAGTAAAATAGAACATCAAAATATAATTCTTTTAAATAAATAAATATTATACGTATAAAATTTATTACAGTTTCTAATTACTAAATTTTAATTTAATTACGACGGTTATTGTTTTTGAATTAAAAAAAAAAGTTTCAAACTAATTTTATTATGATTTAAAAATTCATAATATATAAATATAGTTTTATATATGTATATTTATTTAATTTATATCAACTCTATAAAAATTGGTCTTTTTATTTACAAATGAAAAAATATTTATATTTAAGCTATTATAAAACGAAGTTCATTGTTTTTTTTTTATTGTTGCATAAAATTAAAAATGAAAGGTTTATATAAGATTTATTTTGTAAAATTACAAATAGTTAGTGTAGATATTTATTTATTGTATACTTAATATCGGTCATTAGGATTATTATTACAATTTTTATATATTGCCTTTTACTTATTTAGTAATATAATTAAATCAATGTAAAGTATTTCATAAATATAATAAATAATTTAGACTTTAAAATTTTCTTGTATTTCAAATATTCATAGTAATCGATGAGAAAAAATATCATAAAACTATTTAATATCATAAAAATGAAGATATATGTTCATATTACGTATTTATCAGTATTTCGTATTGTAGATATCTAAATATAAATTATAGAATTATATCTTATATATAGAGTACAAAATACCATTTTTACACTATTTTTATTTTAAAAAGATTTTTATGAAATAATTTTATATTATAAATATTATATATATATATATATATATTATAGGATGTAAACATTTAAAATTATTATTTAACATAAACTAATCTATAAATATGTACTTTACCAATAAAAACTCCGTCTTCATCAATTTTATTTTAAGGTTTATAGTGTAGGTATCATTGATATAATTTTTTTATTAATTTTTTTAAGAATAAAAAATAAAATCTCTTAAAATTAACGTTTTATCAATATTATTATAAATGTTACTCTATTTTTCTACTTTAGTTAATCTTTGTAATTTTTAAGTTGTCATAATAAATTATTCCGAATATATTTATAATAATTATATTTTATAATATTATTTAATTATTTTATAATAATAAAAAAATATTTGAAATAATAAAAAATCCAAAATAATTATTTTCCCGTCAAACGTGATAAAATAAATCAGTATAAAAAGCAATAAATTCTGTATAAAGTGTTTTTTATACATGAAAGTTCGATATAGTAAAACATACATTAGTACAAATTACTTAAATAATTTATTCAACAAAAACACTTTGTTGAACAACTGTTAGAAACTAGTATGCTCTTGGGAATTTAATTATTATACAACTGTTGGGCAGAAACGCGTGAACACATGTTCTGAATAACGAAGTTCAAATGTAAAACATAGACAACATCGAAAATTAAAGGGTCTGTGCATTAGTAAACCGTAAAATATGTAATATATAACTTGCTTCACTCTTCGTTTAGTTTATCAGACTAAAATTTTAAACTTATTACAATTTAGGAATTCAAAGTAAACTTCATTATTTGGTTGAATCCGGATTTGATGGATTCTGGCTAACTCCATTTTATCCAAGTCCTTTTCAAGATTTTGGCTATGACATTTCAAACTTTCAAGAAATTGATCCTCTTTATGGAACAATGAAAGATTTTGAAGATTTACTAGAAATGGCACATAATATGTCTCTCAAGGTCATTATTGATTTCGTACCTAATCATAGTTCGGATCAACATGAATGGTTTCAAAAAAGTGTGAAAAAAATTGATCCTTATACTGATTATTACATCTGGAACGAAGGCAAATTCGTAAATGGTATACGAGTACCACCTAATAATTGGGTAAATAATATATAAATTTACTAATGGAAAAAACATTATTTACCAATTAGTCCAAGTAATATTATTTATAATACTAGAATAATTCAATAATTATATAGAGACATACAATTAATATTAACTATATATAATTTTAAAATATTAAATGTAATAATAATTTAGGTTAGTGTCTTTGGCGGTTCTTCATGGACCTGGAATGAAGAAAGACAGGCCTATTTTTATCATCAATTCGCTAAAGGCCAACCTGATTTTGATTTTCGAAATGAAAAAGTTAGAAATGAGATGAAGGTAAAACTGGATTATTATATACAATAAATATCGATAAATTGAAATAATGCATTTATACTTATCGGATAAGTAGATTTTATAAAAGTTAAGAAAAGGTTTATTTTATTATTGTTCATTACTTCTTTTAATAACTTATATAAATAATTGTAAACATTACAGATATAACGTACATTTCTAAATTTGTAATTATTAAATTTTATTTTTCCGCTTTAATGGGCTTGACGAATATGTCATTCAACACGAATATATTTTTTAAACCTAATATAATAAATTAAAATGAATAATTATATTATTTTTTACATAACTATTAAAACGTCAAAAATAAAATTTATTATAGAATGGATAAATATGCGTATTTATAATGACCTATACACACATATTTATATAGTTAACATATTTATTTTAGCATTGCTATATAAAATAAATTTGTATCTTTTTATAAAGGATATTTTAATCTTTTGGATCAAAAAAGGTGTGGATGGCTTTCGTATGGACGCCTTACCATTCATATTTGAAGATAAATATTTGCGTAATGAAAAATTGACTGGTAGAACACATAACCCAAATGACTTTGACTATACATATCACGACTATACGATGCACTTGATCGAAAACTATGAGATGGTGCATGAATGGCGAAATGTCATTGATCAATATAACCAATCAAACGTGATGATGATAGAGGCATACGCTAATATAAGCTTAACAATGCTATACTATACTTATGGAGCGCATTTTCCTTTCAACTTCGGTTTCATTACCTCAATCAATCAATATTCCAATGCTAATAGAATTAAACATGTAATTGATGAGTGGATGAAGTACCTACCATTAGGAGCCACATCGAGTTGGGTAGTAAGTTTTATAATAATGTGAAATTCGTATAAATATTATATAAAAAGTAATTCCTTATATTTATTAATTATGAAAAATATTAATAATTAATAAATATTGGTTTTATAGAAATTTTTTAATTGTATTTATATTCATTACATGATGTAAAATTTGAGATCCAACTTTAGATATATACGTACATTCAAATTTACTATGAAAAGAAATAATAATTTGTAGATTAATCATTTCTCAGTCATCTTTTATAGTTATTATAATATTTTTATTACTAAATTTTTATGAAATTTGTTAATTTTTTAAAAGAATAATTATATATACGTATCAATTATTAAGTATAACGTAAAAACAAGAACTTTACTTTTCACTTTTTACAAATTATATTAAGTACAGCTAAATTTTAAATTTATTATTTAGTGAAATTACTTAAACTTAGATAAATAAATGTATTAGATGTTTGAAAACTCTACTATTTATGATATTTTTTAGGTATTATGTATACTTATAATTAAATATATCAAAAGTTTTATTTAAAATATCTAAAGATATGTTTAAATTTTTTCGTTTGTGGTTTATATAATTTTTATGCTTTAAGAGAAATTTCTGAAATTTTTATAAATATATTCTTATTTTTATTTTGATTTTGAATTGTTTAGAAATAATAATCAAAATTTATTTTTGTTTCAACCAAATTACAAAATTATCATCTGTTAATACATTATATCATTATTATTTATGTTCGTTATCTATGTATATCAATTCAATGAATAGTAAATATTATAACATTCCCTGGAAATTAAAATTAGGATTAATCAGTACGTAGCATGAAATAGCAAGCTACAAAAGCACATAAACACAAAACTTTATCTACGTAAATACTACTGCAATTAATTTTCTTAATTGGTAGGCAGGAAATCATGACCAACATCGACTAAGAACACGCTTTGGACCAGATATCGCCCCAATAATAACGATGATGGTTCAACTTTTACCGGGTGTTGCAGTAACTTACCTCGGCGATGAAATTTGCATGGAGGACACCTACCTTACCTGGGAGGAAACACAAGATCCTCAAGGTTGTAATGCCGGTAAGACTGATTATCAGAAAAGAAGCCGAGATCCAGTTAGAACTCCTTTCCAATGGGATGCAAGCACCTCAGCCGGTAAGTAGCTTATTCGCTAAGACTTGTGTAAATAGTGCATAATAAATTGGTAAAACATTAATCGATTATATGGTAACATCACATAATATAACTTAATATAACATCAACAATATCAAATGTATGATAATGTAATATTAAGTTTATCTTAACAATTATATTACTGCAAGTAAGTAATGAATCATAGATATTTTAATAAAGATTTTGAATAATTAAATATTTCTATTTCAATAGATATTCATGAATACAGAATTCTAAATCATGCTTGAATTCCATGTTTTACATAAAAAATATTTAAAACTGATATTTGTGGCAACTTTTTTACAAAGAATAATCTCTATATTATCTAAGCAATAAATGTACGTATGTCTCATGAAAAAAGTTATGGGACTGTCCTTATTTTTATAATTGAGAGTAATTAATTCTGTAATATATATTTATTATTTATTTATATTATTATTTTATTATGAACTAACTACACAAAATTTTTTTATAAATCATTATATCCTAGTTAATGACATAAATTAATTCATTTATATTTTAATTAATATGACAGAAATTAATATAAATTAATAAAATATTATATAAAAATACTTTCATGTATTACTATTTAACATTCCACAGATTCAAAAACATAAAACCTATTTTATAATAAATAATCTTATATAATAAAAATTTATTTTAGGATTTTCAACTAATCCAAGAACTTGGTTACGTGTTAATGACAATTATAAAACAGTAAATCTTGCTGCTCAAAAAGCAGCAGATAAATCGTGTTATAAATCATTCTTAAAAGTAACAAAATTAAGAAGATTACCATCTATTTCAAAGGGCGAATTAAAAACAAAATTATTTAATAACGATGTATTTGCTTTTTCCAGGTAATTTTTGTTTATTACATATTTCAAAACAATAATAATGGAATTAAAATAAAATTTTGTTCAATTTTTATATTTAATAGTCATCTAATATTAAAATATTATGAAATTATTTAAAATATAACTATTGAAATTGTGTATTATATAAATAAAAAATTTTATAATAAAAATATATGTTTAGAGAACTAAAAAATGAGATATCGATTTACGTGGTGATAAATATGGGGAATGAACCAGTCACTTTAAATTTAGAAGTTTTTGAAAATATTACATCTAAATTAAAATTATATCATTTGACAACGAATATTGAACTACCAACAGGGTAAGCTTTATATTTTATTATAAATTCATCTTATTCTCATTGTTCATTATATAAGATTTTAGTAAAATATTTTGCATATTGTGCAAAATTTATAAATTTTATAATCAATAACAATTATGCATATATTAAAAATGATTGTATTTATTGTTGAATATTTGATTTTCTTTTTTAATTAATATATAGTTCTGTATTCAAACTATTAAGTAATCTATAATAAAATCATGCTGAAAATATTAAAAATTAATGATATTCGTCGTATTGGTACAAAATCCAGCAAAAACAATTAAATGTCATTATATATATGAGTAGACACAGTGTTAAACTTATAATTCAAGTTGTAGTAGATATAGTCAACGGAAGACATTCATTTTTATACAATTTGTTAGATAAGGTAGATCAATAAAAATGTTATTCGTGAATAACATAAAAATTCTAGTTTTACGCCCTAGTTTTATTAAGACGTTGAGATATATAAAAATAAATAATAAAATACTATTAATATAAACGTTGTTACTCTAACTTATAATGATTAATCCAACCATTGTTTTTGTGTAATATATTTTAATACAATAATATCTCTATAATAAATATAAAAAATTGTAATGTAATAAGATGAAAACTGTATAATTGAGGTTAATTAATTCAACTACTACAATTTGTAAGGTCATAATCTTATATCTAAATTCTGCATTCTATGATTCTTAATATACTTTAAATGGTACATGAAATAAAATTAATATTTATTTTAATATTGACAAGTTTTCCGTAATACATAATTAAATTTTGTAAATATAATTTACTATAATAAGCAATTTTTAGCTTTTTATTATTTATTTTCTATAATAATTCTATAAAATACATTGTTTTGTTTTTGTATTAAAATATATACTTTTCAGGTCTATTGTAAACACAAATTCTGTCAAAGTTCCGGCAAGAAATGCTGCAATTCTCTTTAGTAATTGAAAATATTTCGACAGATTCTAAAACTCAGCGTAACCGCAATTCTGGCTTCCTGTATATAATATCTGCCTACAGAAACATATTTGATTATTACCACATGGAAATTACTATTAAAGTGTTTGTGAATAATTAAATAAGTCAAATTTATTTTAATGTAATGGAAAAAAACAATATTTATTTTGTACCAACAATATATATTCGAATTCTAATACATTTTAAGCCTTCATATTTCATTAAGCTATTAATTTAAAAATAAAGCCGTAAAGAATATAAAATATAACTTATTATTTTTTCAAGATTTACGTTATTCAAACAAAACCTATTAATAAAGTGTAAATATTGACTTAGCATTTAAAAATAAATAAATTTTATATATTAAATGTTACATTATAAATGTTTGGCATTTTCAATTTCAAAGAATTAAGAAATTATCTTTTGAAGGGCACTATTTAATATTCTAAAATAAATACTTTTAGTATAAATATGTTTTAAAAAACAACCCATAATTGGAAAAATATTTGAAATTATATCTAATAAACTTTTAAAATATTAAATTAGTTACTGATTATATATAATTAGATATTATACAATCATATGAATAATTATGAACGCATGAAAATAAATATTAATTTTCATTTCAACATTATACATTTATCAAATATAATAATTTTGGTAAAATAGGATACTAACATGGATGTACATTTATAAAAATATTAAGGAATCATCAAAAATCATTTTAAACATGGTTAATATTATTAATTTTACTCTTAAAGTCATTTTATAATTGAGTTGTAAAAGTGAATTATTTTAGAAAATTAATTATGTTTAGAATACACTTGGAAAAATTAATAGGAATCTATAGAACTATGACTTTATAATAACTATGATCTTTATATTTTATTTTATATTTTTAATTTATTCGAAAATTATATAAAAACTAAATGTCTTGTTAAACTTTGATTATAATCGATGAAATAATCAATTCAGTGTTTAGTACAATTTAAATGATAATTTTGTATTAACTCTTTAATTACATAATTAATGCATAGTATATTTAAATATTTATTTGATAAAACAGTAAAATTCAACTAAATAAGCACAAAGAAATACTAATTCAGTTTGGAAAAAAATCTAACATTACATTTTAGTTATTAAACATTTTTAATTTAAAATTTTTATAATAAATTAAAAAATAAATATTAAATATGGAATACAATATCAATGGTCAATACAGTATTATAGTCTTATATTATTACTTGTTTAGAATTAATTACTATTAAATAATTAAAAAAATTTAATAAAATATATTTTGAATAACGTTATTTAGTAAAATTTCAATTACATATAAGTAAAAATATATTATTAATAAAAGAATACAATAAATTATTAATTAATTTTAATTAAAATAAAAAGCACTGCAAAAATAAATCAATTTTAAAACCTTATATTTACATAGTTTCTTAATTCGATAATAATCCTGTGAATATTTATCAGCTCAAACGAGCTTTTCATTTCTCTACTTTTTGTCTTATTTTTTAGATAAATTAAAATTAATTTACATTAAATTCATAAAATACTTCACTGCTAAGATATTTTGAAAATCTATTGGTATATTTAAATGCAAAACATATATTTATACAAAATATATGCAATATGAATAGTACTAAGAATTCTATAATACAAAGTTATATTATAAATTGTTTAAATATCAATTAAATAGCAGTATTTAATTATAGTAGTATACCTACTAATATTTCAAAGCACAAATCATTTAATAACGAAAACTTTTATTTAACAACTAAAATACAATATATATTGTAGAAAAACTATTAAAAATTATAAAGCGTGTTCATAACAGCATCATTCAAGAATACCATCTACCTAATGATATTTGGCAATGAATGCTTAGGTAGAATATCATACATTATTACATAATAAATATAATTGTGCAGATTATATTATTAATTACTTTATTACAAGTAAAATAATATTGAGTTCGTATGGCTCAAATAAAATGAACATTCTACTATAAATACTAAAAAATTAATCATATTTTTAATCTGTGCTACTTCTCAATAGAATCCAAAGCTACTTCAAAGCCACCAAAATAATAATATACAAGGTTCAGATATAAGATATTACATATTACATTTTATTATATTACATAATTCTAAATTAATATCACATAATTTTCATGTAATTCACCTAAAAAAATAATACATTGCATGCAACTACTAAATTAAATAATTAAAACATAAATTTCATTTTTAATTTTAAAAACATAGAAATAATAAAAATAGGTATAACATTTTTATTTATAACATCATTGGTAAAAATATTATAAAATGTTTTCTTGTTATTTAAGTCTTATTAACTATTCAGCAACAATTGTATGTATATTTTATTAAAAATTAAGTACATTAATAAATTGTTTAATTACTTTTATGATAAATGAATGTATAGAAGCATTTATGTAGATATATCAATGACAAACTTTATTTAAAAATATTTCTTTATTAACATTATGATTTTGAAAAAGTAAATTTTATAATATTAAGAATTACAAAATTAATAAAGACTTACTAATAATATTCTTAATAATTACATAAACTTTATGTATTTATCTAAGATTATCTAACAGATAAAATATTAGATAACTAAACTTCCTTGTTATCAATAATTGAAATAAAACTACAATAAATTCAATTCATCTTAAATATTAGAAGACTAATGTTTTATTTTTATTACTTCACAATTTGTGAAAATATTTAATTGTACAGATAAATTTGAATTAATATATTTTTCGGAACAATTATTTTCTAACCCAAAATCCTTTAATAATTTAGTCACACTCATTTAAATTTCCACTGATAATTTCACACTTCATGAATATTTAAAAACAATTGTATAGATTTTTCTTACTCACCTAATGGATTTTTATATACAATCCATAAATTTTGTATTAAAATATGAAATTGATAGTTTCTATTTTATTATATTAAAAGCTTAAATAATTATATTTTTGTTGCTAATTTTCAATATCATTCTTTCACAAAATTATTTTTAAGTTTGATTTATTGAAATTCAATATAGATTAAAAAAATTTTATTACCTATTATTTTTCGGCAAAAAATTTTTACAATAATTCAGATTTCCTGTTTTATGAACTATAGTCATTATCAGTTATAATGAGTAATGTGCGTAAAAAATATTCTTAATATGTGAGTGTTCATTATTAAAATAAATAATAAAAATATAATGAATAATATATTTATCATAATTCATTGTATGATATTTCTGAAGAGATGAACATATATTTCACAATTGTATGTATCTTAACTACTAGAATAAATTAATAGAGTGAAATCAATAATTATTTGGAAATAAATTTTAAATTGAAATAATATAATTCTAGTTGAAAAAATTTATATTAGATTAAAATATTATTATCGTATTATATTAAAATTTTATATTATGAAAAATACTATATTAAATTATACATATTAAGTGTTTTACCAAAAATTCGAATGCGAATATAATTATAAAACTTAACAATAATTTAAAAGAACTATAGTCAGATTTTTATTTTAAAAGTAAGATATTAGTAAACGTAAAAAATTATACTGGACTGCATTCATTAAAAGTTAATCACGAGTTATTTTTACACTATCCATGATTTATGTGTATATAAATAAATATAAGATAATAATCCCGAGGAGATGTTTTCAAATTTTTTCAATGCAATTTCTCTCGAAAAATTAACATTATTAAAGAAAGATTAGACCCAATAACTTTCACCACTGCTTTAAACATTAATTAATTACTTGAACTGCCTACATATAACTATAAATTACTTTGAATATTGAATACACTCAGTAGTTAAAGAAGAACTAGATACAAAATTTCTGATTTAATTAGAAATACCTCTTTTTATGTATTTTAATCGGTGTAAATAATATCCTATATAAGATATTTTTATATATAAATTTTGGAAACAATAACTGTTATCAAAAAATTAAAATTTAAAATAAAACATAAAATAATTCTTTGTATATAATTTCATTTATTTGTTGAGTTCATTTTCGATCTACTAGTGATAAAAGCAAATAAAACATTTAACATTTTATAATTATGTAATTAACATAATTTACATAATTAACATAATAACATAATATTTTTATTTTCTCTTATCTCTAGTTTAAGTTCTTAATAAGAATTTTTATTATAATACTGAGCATTAAATTTAAATTTAGTTCCATATTCCATCGATTTCCATACAAAAAAGCCAGCAAGATATCATGTATATGAGTTAGGCAAATATTTTCATATTTTTTTATACACTTTCAGAATCAATGCTCTTTTTATTCATCTAATTATAATCCTTTATCCCCGCCTCACCTATTCATTATCATATTTAAAGTAAACTTCATCTACAAGTATATATAAGATGCGATAAAAATAAACATTGATCAAGCTTGTATATACCTAGCATATATTAAACATAAGTTATCGCTCACGGAACGAAAATCTACAAAATATTGTTCGATGCTTGATGTCAAAATGAAATTAAAATTCTAAAAATAATAAAGTAATAAATTGATAAATACGATAAATACTAATAAATAAGTGTATATTATTTATTTATGGTAGAATGCACATGGCACCATAATATTTCAAATACAGAGTAATAAAGTTTAATAAAATCGTTAAGTTCGTAAATATACAATATTTTTTGTGTTATATTAAAATTTTATTGTTTTTATATCAGATTTAATATAATTTTACTTGTAGTTACATTATATGTTATTATTATATTTATTACCTATTATTCTATAGCACATATATTTTATAATAATAATATCACTATAGAAAAATAAATAAAATAATATAAATTTAACCTCAAAAAAAAATTCGATCCAAGTAAGTATAGACAAATTTTTTAAGGACAATCGCATTATTCTCTTTTTAATGAAATTAAAATTGCTAATTCTTATATATTTATGACAGGTTTTCATTGAATAAAATAATCAAATTTCCTAAGCAAAATATATTCGATATTTAAAATAAATTAAAGACCTTTTTATATCTGTCAATTAAATGATATTAAATTGAAAATATAAATAATTATGAAATTTTAATGTTCTTAAGTTAAAATTCTTTCAGTTTTACCTATTAATTATAAAGAAATTTTTATATTCAATAAGTAAAATAAATATTAAATATATTTTATAAATAATTGTTTCATAATTAATATTTAAATCATTTAATTAAATATTAAATACAAAATAATTTTAGTATTTAATTTTACACATGAGTATATTAATATTTCTTTATTCTTGGTGGCCTTCCGGTAATTAAATTAATAATTCCAGCAATTATAGTAATAAAAGTAGTTGCGTTTACAAAATGTTGTATTCATAGATATTTGTAAAAATATCAAATCTAATGTTTGCAAGGGCATCAATATAAATAGTAAATGATGATAATTATTCTTGGCATTTTTTTCTATCGCTATGTGTCATTGCAAGATTCTTAAAATTAAAAGACCAATTATGATATAATAAGATATTTTAGAACTAGATATTTTTCTATTTCTGCTCATTCTGCAATACTAAATTGTTATGCATGCCGATTTAATAATAACATACTGTTTTAATATTATTAATAACCACCAACATAATATTATAAAAATATTATATAAACTAATTAATATTCTTCTTTGATACATTTACTGTATATGAGATATGTTTAGTTTAAAGTGAATTAATATATAAAATGAAGTCATTACTTTAAAAATTAATATTACAAATTAATGTGAAAATAAAATAAATAATTTAAAAGAGTCATTTCTAATCATAATTATAATTATTAGGTGTTTAAATCGGTGTCGGTAAAAGAATTATGTCAATTCAAGTTAATAGATAGCGTATCAAGAATTTTTCACAAAAGTTAGTACAATCCTCCTATATAAGATCTGCACATATCGCTACTTCACAGAAAATATGTTGTCTTTGCCGAGTTGTGTCACTCTTTTACTCAGTGTAAGCTTTGTGATTGGCGAAATAACAAATCAAGGATGGTGGAAAAATGCAGTTTTTTATCAGGTTTATCCTCGAAGTTTCATGGATGCTAATGGCGATGGAATTGGCGATTTACAAGGTAAGATTATTTAAACATTGTTTAAGAGTATAATCTACTATATATTTCAGGAAATTTCAATTGTATTGTTATGTTATTTAAAAAGATTTCATTGAGAGGACAAAGGTATCATTTGATATAATTTTATCCAATATATAAATATCAATATATGTTATCAATTTTTCTATAATATTAATTAAATAAATAAAAAAATGTTTTAATTTCTTATAAACTTATAATTGCAGGTGCAATTACAAAGTAATTCTATATTTCATTTAATATTATATAAAAATTGCATATTTAAAAATGTATGAAAGTATTCATACTATGATATAATAAAAACTATCATTACTATTTCGAATTTTATTACATATTTATATTTCATGTCTGCAATCACTTTGCTCGAGCAATATCTGATAAAATTCTTACTTATCATATTAAATAAAAACATTCAAAATAATTTATATATCTTAAGATTATAATTGAACATGATTACAATAATAATGAAATTTCATTTTGTAAAATTATTTGCAATTGTATGAATACATGTCTAATTCTAAAAATTTGCTGACAAAATCTAAATAAATGATAATAATAAAGAAATATTTCTAAACTTATTTTACAACTGATTGAAAAATATTCTATTTTAAATTTTCAGTAAATAATTGTAAAAAGAAAAACATTGATATATAAATATATCAAAAATATTCTATTTAAAATTTTCAGTCAATAATTATAAAAAGAAAAATATTGATATATATATATATATATATATATATATATATATATATATATATATATATTTACTGAAACTTTTAAATAGAATATTTTTCAATCAGTTGTAAAATAAGTTTAGAAATATTTCTTTATTATTATCATTTATTTAGATTTTGTCAGCAAATTTTTAGAATTAGACATGTATTCATACAATTGCAATAATAAAATAGAATTTCCTTTCAGCAATTTTTAATACGCAAAATATTTTAATAATTAAATATTTCAATTTTCAGTATTTCCATATATTATTATGGTTATAAAATTATATATTAATTAATTATTTATTTTGTAATCTAAGCAAATTTTTTTACAAAATTATTTACAAATTTATTAAATTATATTTTAATGGGAATTAAATATTGTAAATATTTTAATTTAAATAAATATGTAAATAAATAAATTAATTTTAATTTAAATGCAGTTTAGTGCTGATTATAAATGTATAAAATAATTTATTTAAACCATTCGATAAGCCAAAAAAATAAAAATAATGTGAAGCGTTATCGTTTCTTTTATTCAATTGAGTTTAGAAATTATTATCAGATTAATATTTAATAGTAGAAAATAAATTCAATTTCGGTTATTGAACTCAGGATGATCAAATACAGTCTATTCAAATGTAATTCATAAGCATAATATATATAAAATTAGACTTTATTAACATCGGTTTTATTAAGATTAAAAAAATATGACATAAAAAATAAAGAACAAAGAAAAAATATCTTTTTTCTAATATAGATATGGTATATCAGAAAAACAAGTTAAATATTTATAACAAACCCTGTGAAATTCTAATGAATCGAAATATTTAATGCAAATAAGATAAGTCATTTAATCTTATTGCATTAATAAATTGCAATTAACTCTTGCAGAGTGAGTTTTATACCCAGTTAATAGAATAAAAAGTGAAGTATAAAATATATAGTTTTTAATATAATAAGATTTTTTGCAAGACTTAAATTTATAGATAATATTTTAATTCAATTTAGTATGATAAATAATACTTTTTTTTACAGTTTTCATAAATGTGTTCAAAAATTCTAAAAAGAACCTCCATTAATATTATTTATAAAATATTATGATTATATATTTTAATTTTTCTGTATATAAAATAATACAAGTTTCAATTACTATTTATATTTTAACTATCAATTATAGCTGACAAATCATCTGCATTTATTAGTAACGAATAAATATTGCTGTATTAATTTCAATTAATACAATCTATAAAAAAAAGTATTAAAACTATAAATAATTTAAAAAAAAATAACTGAAAATTAGTTCAACGATAGATAGTGTAATTATAAAAGAAACATATCATATTGAACCAATATACTAAAATTGTTGAGAAATTCATTTTTATGAGGTAAGTTTTACTGTTACCTGGAGATTATGTTTTATATATATAAAAGAGATTTAATATATATTTAATATATATATATATATATATATATATATAATATATATCTTTTATATATATATATATATATATATATATAAAAGAAATACAAAAAAAAGAATTATGCGACTCCTCTCATTCATTTGCTCTGTCTCTCGCACTTAATTACATTGGTACATACTCTTTCTCTCTCTCTCTCTCTCTCTCTCTCTCCCTACCTACCTCTTCCTTTGTGAATTTTTGTTATATATTTATGTTCTTTCAAATCATATATTTTATTTTAAAGTTCTTAATTACTCAGAAACTAAATCTAATAGTTATAAATATTAGAATATAATTATTATTTATAAAAATCAAAACATTAATTACACTAGTATTATATAGAAATTATATGTATGTTAATATACTTAACCATAATTAATAATAATTAAGTAACTGTATATTTGGATCTGTTTTTTATTTATTGATTTTTATGATTTTGTATTGTTTTGTATTGATACTTATTTGATTTTTCTTGTAATGCATTACAGTGTATAATTTATATACTGATAATAAAATATTTTTTACCTTTATGTAATTATTACTTACAAAAATTTTATCGTATATTTATTATAATTCAAAACCATTTCATAATGCAATGGAATAAAAATCTACTTCGGCGAATAATAAGTTACTGCGCATATTTATTTTTGTTACAGTATATTAAAAATCTCTATTTTATTACGATTATATATTTTTTATAATAATATTCAATAAATATAATATTAATTTATTAATTAATTATATATTATTTTCAATAATGAAATTTTCTATATATAGGTATAATCAACAAATTAGAATATTTCAAAACTACAGGAATTACAGCAATATGGTTATCTCCAATATATACTAGCCCAATGGTAGACTTTGGCTATGATATTTCAAATTTTCGAGATGTCGATCAAACTTTCGGAACAATGAAAGACCTAGAAAATTTAATAGAAAGGTCCAAGCAACTAGGTGTTAAAGTAAATTATTTTAATAGTTTTAATTAAAATAATTATCTATCATTATATATAAAAAATATACCATTTTTGGATACAGATCATTATGGATTTGATACCTAATCATACTTCTAATAAACATGAATGGTTTATCAAAAGTACTAACAATGAACAAAAATATAATAATTATTATGTTTGGCGAAAAGGGAAAAATAATGACAACAATACTGCGCCAAATAATTGGATTAGCGTTTTTAGTGGATCTGCTTGGAAGTATAATTCAAACCGTGATTTATGGTATTTGCACCAGTTTGAATATAGGCAACCTGATTTGAATTACAACAATCCTGATGTTCGACGAGAAATAGAGGTATATTTTACTTTATATGAAAAGTATCGATGTTTATATTGATATTAATTAAATATAATTAATTCATGTACAATTAAATATTCTTAAATAATACTTATAAATACGGTATTCAATAAGAAATTTATTTACTTTTAATTTTTGTAGGAGATCATAAAGTTTTGGTTAGGTAAAGGCATTGATGGTTTTCGAATAGACGCAATTCCCTATGTGTATGAAAATGACGACTTTCCGGATGAACCATTATCGAATGCATCTGGAGTTACGAGCCAAGAATATGCTTATTTAAACCACATATATAGCACAGACAATTATCGGACATATGAATTAGTCAAAAGTTGGAGAAAAATATTAGATGATTGGTCTGATACACATAATGAAGATGAAAAAGTTCGTTAATTTTTTGAAATTTTCATTCTTAATGTGTAATATAAGTATATTAAATTTTAATTATTATTTATAGATTTTATTCACTGAAGCCTATACAAATTTACTTAACACAACTAAATATTACCGATTTGGATCACAAGTACCTTTTAATTTTAACTTCATTACGAATGTACATAATAATTCGAAGCCTGCAGAATTCAAAAAAGTAATTGATGATTGGATAGCTCAAACGCCAATAAATGCGTCAGCTAATTGGGTGGTAAAAAAAACAAATTAATTATATGATTGTATTCAGAAATTTGTTATGATTTTAAAAATTTGATACTTTAAAAAATCATTTGATTTGTTTATGTGCTCCATAAAGAAACACTCTTGTATTAAGAATAATTTTTTATAAAACTTAGAGTCAATATGTAATATTTCTAGAAAATTTTCAATTGTATTAAATTGTATGTAATCACTAAATGCAATTTAATATAATCTTACCTAAGTTTAAAATTTCAATTACTAAATTCTTTCTGAAAATATACAATTATCTTATTACGAGCGAAGATCGCTTTTGTTATAAAAAAATAAAATATACTTAACAGCGGTCTTTTGATTAATAAAATACACTTATATAAAACACTGATTATGGCATTATGCACAAAGAATTTAATATAATAACAAACCGACTAAATCGCACTTAAAGATGGGTAATCACGATCGCAGTCGTACTGCTACACGGTACCCAGGAAGAGCCGATCAAATGACGATGTTAGCAATGATACTGCCAGGCATTGCTGTTACTTACAATGGAGAAGAAATTGCTATGGAAGATAAATTGGATATCAGCTGGAAAGCGACCCAGGATCCGCAAGCTTGCAACACTGATCCTAAACATTACAAAATATATTCCCGCGATCCCAATAGAACACCATTTCAATGGGATGATTCAAAAAACGCAGGTGAGAACTGATATGCTAGAAATTACTACCATGTTTTTAACGAAAGAAAAATTCAAATTCAAATTTTACTTAGAAATTATTTGAAAATGATACATTTCATATATTTGTAATTATTAATGTTTGAAGTATCATAGGTTTATTCAATCATACAACGATTTAATATTATATACAAATATTATATACAAATAATATATATTTAATATTTATTGATTAATTGAATAAATTTATCCATTATCAATTTTTATAATAAACCATTATTTAATTAAAGGTTTTAGCACTAATGATACCACATGGTTACCCATTCATGAAAATTATAAAACCATAAATTTAGCAAAGCAAATAAAGGACGTAGAATCACATTATAATCTTTATCGAAGATTAATTATGTTGAGAAGTAATTCCAATGTTTTAAAGAATGGAACTTTAAAAATAGAAATTTTAAATAATGATGAAGTTTTGTCAGTTATAAGACAGTATGAAAATGAAAACGTTATTCTTTTAATTAATTTTTCTAATGATAAATTGCAACACATAAATGTTTCCTCCCACACAAATGGAGTTACCAATGGAACAATTTACATATCTAGTGTACAATCGGGAATTAAATGGAAGTAAGTTTTATATTTATATTTTGTACAATAAAAATAGTTTAGTTAGTTCTTAAAATCATTAAAAAATGTATATTATAAAAAAAAATAATAAACATAATTATAAATTATAATTTGAGTAAGTAGAAGTAAAATATAAATTATCTTTCAGTTCATCAGTATCTGTCTCAAACATTACGTTAAAAGGTAAAGCTTCATTAATTCTATTAGTAAAATCGAATGCATATACGAATGGAACAACTTTAACGTTGGTATCAATAAAATTATTGATTTCAATAATATTAATTTCTCTTTTTAAATTAACATAATCTAACAAAGTATAGCAGGTACTTACACATTTAGTATTTAATGTTAAAATTGTACTTACATTAACTTTTTCGCAGAAACTCTTATGTAATCTTAATAACATTAACTTTTCTTATAATATTAACAGTTTTAACTGTGTTTTAAAGTAAATATTTAAGTTATAATAAATAATTTTGTTTTTATTTATAATTATTTATATCATACACTTACAACATATGTGCTAATATATTGTAATCTTTTCTTATAAGGAATCTAACCGATAATTTTTATTATGAAGTATTCTTCAATTTTAGTAAATATACAAATTAATCTTAAAATTAATTTTAAATACTTATATTGTATAAAGAATATATTTAAAACTATTATTTCTTTCATAGTTTTATAATTGTAAATAAAAGATATATATATTGTAATACTAATAACTGTAATCACACTTTTCAATTGATATAGTAGTATATGTAACTTAAGTACAATATGAAAACTAATACTTTATTAGTTAACTTTACACAATATTATTTTGGTAATAAACAGCAATAAAACTTTTTATTTCAATATTTTAGTCTTTTATAAAAGCATATTCTGATTTATAATAATTATTATAAATTATTATCATTGATATATTAATTTAATTATTATAAAACATAATTACATTATAAACCCTATATAGATCTATATATTATACTATATTGTATTATCACTTATTTGTTCGAGTGTAAATAAAAATAAATATATAAACTTGTAACTTTTTATATACTTTATTTATTTAATTAAAAAATATTGATTAATAAATTAAAGGCATTTAATGTATAAAATTATTTGAAAAAGCAATTACAAATTTTTGTTATAATGTATTAAATAAAAGAAATTTCGAAAAGAATTAATAACATAATACTGAATACTAATAATATTCTCAAAAGTAAGAAATTATAATTTTAAATATCGAATAATGTATATATATATATATATATATGTAATCGATTTATATAATCTTTTACGTCGTTCGTACGTGATATTGAACAAATTCTATAACATTGTTTCTAAAAATATACTTTTTAATCAAATAAATTAATATTTACATTTGAAAATGGTTAAACAGTAATTAAATGTTTATCATATTTTAAAATATGTATAACTATGTATTTTTATAATTATTAAGAATTACAAACTAAAAAACTGTGAAATTTTTAAACTCTCAGACAACATATAAATATTTTGTAAGAAGTAAATTACTTTATAAATATTGATCTCCTACAAGAATCAACGAATACACATTTTTTTGAATAATATAATTTTGTTACAGTTTTTATGGGTATACAAAGTATTTGTTCTAAAAACGAAATTTATCTTTATTTTCATTCTATATTCATATTTTTCAACAATTAAAAAAAAATTAATATATTATTTCTGATATGATAGATATCTCGAATAAAGTAACAATAAACTAAGAGTTGTTTCCATTTAAATGCAATTAATGAGGACTATTTTTAAATATTAACTGTAGTTTGTAATATTTTGATAAAATTTATGATTTTAATTGACGATTAAAAAGAAATTTCTATAATATATTTACAATTATTTAAATATATATTTAAAAAGCTAAATTTATATACATTATATATCCTCATTATTAGAAATTGACTTTTTTTAAAGCTTTGTAAAATTTATTTATTAAAAAATATTTATAAAAATTTTTAATTATTTTTCTTAATATGCTTATTTAAATATACAAAATTATGATTGTTTTCTGCTTAATTTATATTTATTCATAAAACTATAACTATTTATAAAAATTTTATTTGTAATAATCTATTAATATCATAGTATGTACTATACAATACTTATACACATAAGTAATCTGTAATTACTTGGAAATTATGTTTAAAAACATTAATTAAAATAAATTACACCAATATTACATATTAATATCAATTCAAAGTTTATGCAAATCAATATTCTGTTTATTTTGAAATATGTTCGAAATTGTTGCTAACTGCCAATAACTGCCAATGTTCGATAGCTTATATTTGCCACCCGCCCTAGCAAATGCTTGGAAAGCAGTTAAGTGGAAGGTCTGTAGAAATACAGTGTATTCATCCTCGCTAAATATGGTTTATTATGTTTTATTTACAATTACATTATTGCTGTGTTGGATGTATCCTACGTTTAATTACAGAGACACCGTTGCTTGGAACGGTTCTTGTGATGGATGTTTCACTGCATAAGATGCTCCTTGATGACTATGATTTGTTGTTAATTTTGCAAGGAGCAACAACTAGTGGCACACTTCTTAACGAGTGTGTTTTGTATTGTTTAATGATCGCGTCATCGCAGTCTCAGACGATGGCAATGCAGATTTGTGTACTCACAGCAATGTAGCAGACTTGATCTGATCCTGTAATGTGACTGGCAATGCAGTCCTTTTCTCTCATGGCGATACAATAGCCTTAATTTGTCCTTTGCTTCATCCCAGTCGCGATAGGACTGGCGATGGCACACAGCTCGTTCGTTTTCTTCCATCGTGATCGCACTTTCGGCTAAATAACTATAGTATCAACGGTAAGTTGACAATTGTTCCTACGTTCTTGACTCCTTTACTTATACAGCGATTGAATCTGAGTTGTCCCCACTTTTAAAGCCTCTGATAGTGAGTCCGCGCTCAAGGAATGCCTCTACCTTAGTTTTCTCTAATACGAGTATGCCGTTCTCAGCGACACGACTGAGCATGCGCGCCTCTGTTCAGTGTTCCATCTTCCGAAGGAAGTTAGTTTCGATAAGAGTGCCTCTAGTGGCAAAGCCTTCAACTAGGAACCTCACTTTTCTCTTGGACTTCGCGTCGAGAGGAGCTCCTGGTCAAGCGTCGGCGCTTGGCTTCTACAAGTAACAACATATGGTCGACTTCATAACAACGGATGCATTGTGTTCCGATGCATCGTAAACCTTGAGTGTGACGACTATTGCTAGATGTCTAATAAGCTAGGTTTTCCCTTACGACTTGATTATTTTCATACATCTGACACTCTCGAAGGGTTCTCACAATCTAGAACAAATAGCGTCATGCTAGTCTTGTAAGGAATGGCAATAATTAAGTATACTCATAAGAGTATGGGTTTGCTATGATTATAATAGCGTCGCGGCATCTTGTTAGCTGACAACAAAGGGCCGATCATTGCGCTAGAAACACTGACTGAATAATTTCCTTGAAATGATAGCCGTTGGAATTTTATTCCATATAATATACGAGGTTTTATGAACAAAAAATTTGTAAGATTTATTTAAATTGAAATTATTTGGTCAATTTGAATTATAAATTTTACGAAACATAATTTTGATTAAATATTATTTGAGTTATGTTTTCGATATTATTTATTTTTATTTTTATTTAAAAATTGAACACTTCCTTAAATTAATAAAATAATTATTTATTAATTTATAATTATTAATTTAAATATGATGAAATGGGTGTGCCATATTAATGGAAATATAAATTATTATAATTAATTATTTTTGTACTTTCTATGTAGGAATAATAATTATATTTTCGTATTACATCATTGCCAAACTTCTATACTCTGAATGATAAATAATTTTGAATATATTATAATAATAATGCAATTTATTAATTGTTATTCGATTTAACAATAATAATAATTTGAGGAATTATAAGAAACAGATCCATATTACCTTTAGAAAAATTAGACCAGTTAGATAAGTCATCAAGTATCAGTACAATTATTCATCTGTGAAGAGTAACTTAAAAAGTAAAATAAGACGGAAGCGAGGAATATGATAAAAATTAATTGTAAATTCATCAAATAATAATAATGAAAATTCTTGTTTAAATATGTTCGAAAGTGTAGTGATGTAATTCTTGGCTCGAACTGCCAATGCTTCAATAGCTTAGTTTGCCGCCCGCCGTAGCAGACGCTCTGGAAGGGGTGAGATGTAGGGGCTGTACAAGAGTCGTGAGAGTTGGTTAATTATATTTATTATACAATTTATTCCACTATTTACACATGGATGTTATAGAATCTTCTTGTATCTTATATGAAGATACGATTTCTTGACTGGCTTCTTATACAGGAGGTGTCACTACACAAGATGCCTTGAAATCGTTTAATTGATGTAAATTGCACAGGTAAGTAATTGCTGCACACTTCTGATTGGAGAGTGTGAGATAATCTTGATGGTTGTCTTATGCCGGTTCTGTCGCCGGCTGACAATAATTGAAGAGAAAATATGTATCAACGTACTTACAGCGATGTCGTAATTCAATCTGATTCAGCGGTAAGAGGGACACGAATCATGTGCGGCATGACTCCTTCACTCACCAGCATGAACTATTCTTGTGGCGAATTACTAGCAA